GTAGGGGACACCGGGGCTACTTGTCGCAGATTTGGTATTAATTAATTTTATAAGTTGTTTTTGGAACTTTTTACAAATAAATATGGTCATAAGATTTTTGTATGATTTATGAAAAATATCTAAGGAGAATAAATTGGAAAATGCAAATATAATTAAATTTATGACATATATTATTTTTATAGACAAATGCGACAACGTACCCCATGGCGGGGCATGTTGTCGTTTTATATGGGGTAAGTTGTCGTTAACAAAATTAATGAGAGAAAACTGTTTATAAGTGTTTAATAACATTAAAAATATATAAATAACTAAAAATATTATATCTATATGAAATGCAAGGTTACAAGTGATGACTTCCGATGATGATCGGAATCGCAATGTCGATATACGTAATAGGGATTGCCGCCTGTGCAAGTTTCATGGGCCCAAAATTTACATTTCGTATTTTACAATCTATTGTGGATACAAGGCAAAACTTTTCTTCTTCTTCCTCTTCATCAAAGGAGGTTACTTCTTCCCTAACTTTACTTTTAATTGCTTAACAATGCTTTTGCTCTTTAGTGAGTAGTTTTCCTCAGTTTTCCTTTTATATGTTCTTACCATCTGCAATGCATATAAAATAACGTGTTCCTATTACATTTTATTAGACCTATTTTAAGATAAATTATAATATTTTAGAAATACCCTTTGTATAGTGTATCTCTATGTATTTAAAATCTTCCAATATGAACGTTTTACCAACCACGTAGTTGTTTATGGGGCAAGTTGTTGCACGACAACTTGCCCCATAAACAATGCGACAAATTACCCCACTTGACAAAATATTGGTAATATCTAATTAATTTTATATATGATTAATAAACATATTTAAAAATATCACATCATATTACGTACATCCTAAGTTATAATTATATATAAAATTTGCTTACCTTAACGTTCAATAACGGGCATAACACTTAAATTATTCTTAACACGAAAATTTACGACGTGCGCACTAGTTCTTATATCGTACCCTACGGTGCTGCCATCTTAGCGGTTTGAGTTCAAACTCAGGGAAGATAAAGAAGGGATCTGTTATTAACTTGTGATAGAGATTTATAGGCCAGTGTTTTCTAATTTCGGAATTATAGTAATTGCGACAATTTACCCCTGCGACAACAAGCCCCGGTGTCCCCTACTTAGTAAAGTTATTGAGAATTAAAAGTTATGA